GAGACCATAAAAAGAATAGAGTGGATACGACAAAAGACCCAGGTAATAGAGTAATAGATGTCATCCACAAAGTCAAATCCCTCAAATGGCAATGGGCAGGATATCTGGCAAGAAGAACGGACAACAGATGGACCACAAAAATTATAGCATGTACTCACGAGGGATTAAGAGACTTAGAAGAAAATAAAACTTGAGATGGGACCATGATATTAGGAAATTAACAGGGATAACTTGGGCTCGCATAGCCAACAGTTTATAGGGCTTGTTTCTCTCTACAATTTCCTGTCTCACAATGTACCGTTTGTGTCCGGGAAGGGTTCCCAAGTAGCATATGGACGTTATCTAACGTCGGGTATACGTCGCGTTTAATAAACCCGACGTCGGGTACCAACGTTTCCATCGACCACCTGACGACCCTTATTTGCACCTAAAATGGGGAATACAGATTCGGGTCGCCTCGACGTCGATATCTGACCTAATAGGGGAATGTAATTCTACCAATTACCAACGTCATATTACGTTGAATTTTAGTTACTTAAATTCGTCGCTAAGCACTTACGTTACGTTTGGTTTCATATTCGCTACCAAGAATACGCAAAAAACCTAACCAAACAACCTAAGTTACAAATGGATTCATAATCACTCACTCGAATATAACTGTATAAGTGCCTATCTAGTTTCATATTTAATAATTCTGAATCATTAATCCAGACATCAGTTTTGTCAACGGAAGTCACTTTCTTGATATATCTCGACCTAAAATACTCCGGAAAAACAACGTGAGCGCCTTCAAAATTAGGTAGATTTATGAAATAAAAAATATCTATAAAAAGTAACTCGTAAAAATTTTTTTAATTTTCTAGCTGGTTTACCAAACTCAACCATATCAATATTGATACTAGAAATCGAAATGTGAATATAAATTTTAAAAACAAGAAACGATTTTAAAATGGCTGACAATCGGATACGTGTTAAGAATGGCGGATTTTAAAATGACCGGCAATCGTATTATGACGTATATAATTCCAACGTACGCCACGTAACCTCACTTTGCGTATTAGTGATTTGTAGATTTGTGCAACTATATTTTGAAGTTTTTGTTTTTCTCCGTAAAAAATGGGCAGCCACTTTTTTAAGCCTTAACCTCACATGTCGGAGGAGGATGGGGTCTGCTGGTTTCCCTAAGCTAAAATGAAATTAAGATGCACCAGTGTAATGCAGCATCTCTTCCGGATAAAAAGCATTTACGGGTGGAGGCAAGACATCACTACTACTATTATTATTTGCAAAAGCCTCGACCTCTTTCTGTAAAATGTAGATGAATGCCTTTTAGTGTTTTTTAGACATAATAAAAAAAATTAAGTTTGTTTACAAAAACTTTTTATTAGATTTTATGTTCATGATGTTTTCATTAGGTCGCAAATGCTACTTAATCGGGTTGTATTTACGGACGTAAATAGAGATACGTAAATTAGGTGATAAATATGAACATAAAATACAACAGAAATATAATTGGATTACACTTTAGGGATTATCAGTGAGACGTATCCCTATTCGGACAACGGGTAGACGTCAGGTTAGTTCAAATATATGTTACGTCGTGCAAGTGTACTTCCAGACATGACCTATGCATGAAACCTGGACGTTAAGAACGACGTTGGAAAATTAATAAAAATGGTACGTTGTTATTTTGTACGTCGACAGATCGTTGGCATTAACCGACTCGGATCCAACGACGTCGCTTTTAATAGGAAAGCGACGTCACAGGTCGTATCACCAGCACCCGACCTAAATTTGCACAAAGTCTGACGTCGCTTCAGGTCAGAATTTAGTTCTTGAAGTTCGAAGTCAGATAGATGCTACTTGGGTTCATAGTTTCGCAGTTGTCGATTTTCGAAAGAAATCAGTACATATAATGTACTTTCGTATATTTTTCAATGTTCTATCCTATGTTATAGGGCTTGTTTCGCTCTACAATTTCCTGTCTCACAATGTACCGTTTGTGTCTGGGACGGGATCATAGTTTCATAGTTGTCGATTTTTGAAATAAATCAGTACATGTATATTATTTCGTATATTTTTTTCATTTTATTGATTTTATGGAAAGCACTGTTCATTAAAATGTTGTATCCTATGTTATAGGGCTTGTTTCTCTCTACAATTTCCTGTCTCACAATGTACCGTTTGTGTCGGGGAAGGATCATAGTTTCATAGTTGTCGATTTTACCGAAAGAAATCAGTACATGTATATATTTGGTATATTTTTCATTTATTGATTTTATGGAAACTTGTACATTAAAATGTTGTATCCTATGTTATAGGGCTTGTTTCTCTCTACAATTTCCTGTCTCACAATGTACCGTTTGTGTCCGGAAGGGCTCATAGTTTCATAGTTGTCGATTTTCGAAAGAAATCAGTACATATATATTATTTCGTATATTTTTCAATTTATTGATTTTATGGAAAGCACTGTTCATTAAAAAAGCAACGGCCTAGCTACACGTTGAAACACCGGTTCCCATTAGAACACCGAAGTTAAGCGACGTAAGGCGATACTGGTGGATGGACGGGTGACCGGTTCGAAACTGTGTATCGTGCTGTTGTTCAAGGGAAAAGTGTAAAATCTATTGATAAACACACTGCTCATTCACGCCGCGCCGGTTCGAGGCCGGATGAGATCGGATATCTCGTGAATAAGAGTTGATTTAGACACTTCCTAAGTCGTTAGGCCATTGACCATGATATAACCGAGGACCGCGGTTCGGATTCCGCGTAAACAAAGTAGGCCCCGTTCAGATTAGCCCTGGCAGCAAAAGGGAGAAATTAACTGAATCTTTACTTTACTTTACTTTACTGTTCATTAAAATGTTGTATCCTATGTTATGTTATAGGGCTTGTTTCTCTCTACAATTTCCTGTCTCACAATGTACCGTTTGTGTCGGGGAAGGGATCATAGTTTCATAGTTGTCGATTTTCGAAAGAAATCAGTACATGTATATTATTTCGTATATTTTTCATTTTATTGATTTTATGGAAAGCGCTGTTCATTAAAATGTTGTATCCTATGTTATAGGCAACAGTAGACAACAATGGGCTCAACTCTCAAAGAAGAGTATGTAAGTGAGGCTACATCATAATTGAAAATACGCTGAAAATGAAGATGATGATGACAATATATCCAAAAGAAAAAGAAAAAATTATAATAATCTAAATACCTATTATAATATCAATATATTCGTATATCATTCTAAGTTGTAGAGAAGTAAAGTGTCCTCAAAACTTACTGCAATTTTCACTTGAACGCTCAATTACAAAATTTGAAATATTTTTGTCAGAGACAATCTATCTGGCTAACTAGTTTATCAAAACAAACCGTTCTATACATACTTACGTGCCTCTACTCTCTTTTCTTGTCGGATTATTTATGTACGACCATTAGCCGCTTGTCATTCTGTACCAAAAATATTAAGCGCCCTATTGCTCATTTTATAAATATAGCCCATTGCCGACTAGCATAGCACATATTTAATAGATGAGCAGAGAGTGGACAAAATACGCCAGCAATGTGAAGGATACAGTGGTGGATTACGTTGGAGAATATTATACAGGGTGTTGATGCAACTGGTTTATTCAACGTTTATAGGATCTAATTTAGAATATTTATTTTCCAGTTTTCAAGTTTTTTGCACTGTTTAACTGGAAGTAGATCGTTATTCTTTTGTTTTTTTACCGGAACAACTAACATCTGAGTAGAACAGCAGGCTTTATCCGCCAGCAAATTTAGCAAACATTGGTCGACAGACAATGACAGAAAAAAAAGCAGATGACGTCCATACCAATACAATTTTTTCACTAAAAAAGTTTCTAATGTTTTTTGAGTTAACTATGGATGGGTTTATATAAAAATCCGTTTTGTTCTTTCCTCTTGTTGTTTATTAACCAGTTTTATTGGTTTATTTCAAAAATGCCAGATTATATTTCAATATTCTTGATTTGACGGAACGATGAACGACAAACGGACGCCGATGTGTTTGAACTCGATTTTTGAGAATTGTCAAACTCTTGCCAAATTATAGGTTATAATTTTGTATCAAATTATGTCAAATAGAAATGATAAATATTTTGCATTTTGGACTGTGTTTTTACGTGTGTTTCCTGTTTTTTAAAAATAAGTGGAGGAAAATTGGAGGGAAAATTAAATGTTGACCCAGACCATAGTTAATATTCAGTGCACAGTTTGCCAGAGAGTTGTATATATTAGTCACAAATAACGTTTGTATACCATCTCGTATATATGGGTACCAAAAACTGGAGTACCTGTAAAATAACGTCATACGATAGGTAAATAATAGATTTTAGTACTGCAGAAAAATTCTGTCAAAAGGTACTGGTTTAAAAAAAATTAAGATTAAAGTTAACCAACTTTTAAGGTATAAAATTCATTAAGTGTTATTATTAATAAAATATTTTGTTTTATTTATGTTGCGTTTTATTTATTACTTTGCAATATTAATTTTTTTATTTGTACATAAGTTATATTGATAAATGTAATAATAAATCCAGGAACTTGAGCTTGAAAGTAAGAAACAGTTATTCTTTATATTTTTTTTGGTATGTGGTGTTTTGTTTAAAATATACCCTCCTGTTTTGTATTAACACATAACGTATTTTTTTAATAAAATAATTCGATTAGATTTTTTCGGTTTATACATTTTTTTGTTCGCAATATTTTGAAGTAATCATAGTCTAAGAGCTAGCAACGTTTTCGAGAAAGTAGTTTAAGACGTCTGGCTCTTTGATATATCTTTTACTATGCTCTCTGGAACAGCATGCGGCCCGTCTGGCTGCCGATACCCGTTGCGTTTACTACTGCGCATCGGAAGAAGATCCTATATTTTTTATTAATTTAGTTCTATAAATTCTAGTATTGAATATAAATCGAACATGTCTCCATAGCGCAGTGCGT